AAACAGTCCATATGGTCATCAACAGATGGGTGGATACAGAAGATGTGTTTGTTTGTTTTTTTCTTTTTACAATGAGTACTACATTGTCATAAAGAAGGATAAACGAGACATTTTTGATAAATGGATGCACCTTGAGAACATAATTTTTAACACATGTGTGTCTGAAATAAATCAGACACACATGTTTAAATATCATGTTATTTCTCCTGTGTGAGAAACCCAAAGGGTAAGTAAGGACAAAATGTGTGACAGACACTGAGAAGTAGGAAGAAAATGTCCAAATGGGAAGAGGAGCAAAGGAGCGGGGAGGGAAAGGGATGGGAGGCTTAGGGATGAAAATACTAAAGGCAAAAACAAAAAACTACAGAACAGATGGAAACAATAGAAAGTTTTGTCAGTGGGGAGGGGAAGAAGGATTGCGGGGGAAGGAGGAAGGGCAGTGGGAAGGAAGAATTAAAGTATATTATGTACAAGTACGAATTCCCTATGATGATCGTTACGTATGTTAACAGTGTACCGGTAGGGGTCAGGTGTAGCTCGGTGGCACAGCACCTGCCTGGCAAGCACAAGGTCCTGAGTTCAGTTCCTGGTACTCCCCACCAAAAAAAGTGTACCAGTAAAATTAATTTTATACTTGATCTTAGCCAAAAGGCCAAGAAGTGATTAAAATTAATTAAAAACAAAACAAAACAGAGGCTAGGGATTTAGCTCAGCAGCACAGCGCCTGCCTGGCAAGCACGAGGTCGTGAGTTTGATTCCCGGTACCTCAAAAACAAAACAAAACAAAACAAACAAAAAATGTGTGCTACCACGCCCAGCTGGAACAGGCTCTTGACAGCAGAAGTGCGCGGAGCTGCCATTTGCAGCCCTGGTCATAACTCCACCTCTGAGGACACGCGGAACCTGGAGCTTGGGCAACCACGGAACCTGGGGGTCTCCAAGCAGAACCAGAGCTCAGCCAGTGCTCGAGGGCCACTCTACCAGCCCACGCCAGTCCCACTCTTCTCCATGTGACCTTGCCGGTGGCCCGTGTCTCTGGAACTTCAGACTAACGGGTCAGAGCCCCTGAGAACTGTCACTTCCCTCCACGCTGGCTCTGTCCTTATCCTCGCATCTCCTTGGTTTTAGCACCAGCTTGCCGCCAGTCTTCTCTCTCCAGACCCGAGTCCGGGGGGAAGAGGCAGGACGGGCCCAACAGCAGCCCAGCGCCGACCGTGTACTCAGTGCAGAGTATGGTGCTTTTCCTCGAATTATCCAGTTCACCCCAGCAGACAATTACTATCCTTACCTCCACGTCACACTGAGAATGGAGGCCTAGCAAGCAGGTCTCCCGGTGCAGCAGAAGGGCCCGCTCTTACCTCCATGAAGCCCCTCCAGGCCAGCCGGCCTCTTGTCCCCGATTCTGTCACCTGCCTGGATTTGTGAGACGTGCACATTTAACGCACACACACCCAGGAAAGAGAAAGGTACTGCAGAAACAGCCCCAGACAATCTCCAACCCTGTTGCTTTGCTGATTAAGCCTCACGGGGTCCCACGCGGGCTGAGCTGGGCTGTGGGCCCGGACGAGGCCCGGACAAGACGACGTCCCTGTGGGCCACTGGCTCAGGTGGGTCACAGGCACCCTGCTCAGGCCACGTGGGTCCTGCCGCCCAGGCCCACATCTCCCTCCCTCTTCCAGTGCCCACAGCGGTTCAGAGGGGCCTGGAGGCAAGCGTGCCCAGGGTACTGTGCACACTGGGCACACAGGTGGGCAATGGTGCCCACGCAGGGAGGGCAGCGTGTCCACTCTAGAGGGAGGGTTAAAGTCTTCAAGTTTTATTGTGCCAGAGACTCCTTTGAATCTGGTGAGATTTATGGACCTCTTCATTTTAAGCATTTCTTTTGTGGTGCTGGGGATTAAGCCTAGGCCCTCATGCCTGCTGGTGAGTGCTGTACCTCGGAGCCTCGGCACCAGCCTCCACAATAATGTGTCCCTGCCAGGCACGGTGGTGCACGCCTATAATCCCAGCACTCGGGAGGCTGAGGCAGGAAGATCACTGTGAGTTTGAGGCCAGCCTGGGCTACACAGTGAGACCCTGTCTCAAAAAAATATGCACCCCCATCCCCTGGAGCTACAGGCAAAGGCTTCCAAGGCTTTGTTTCTTTTGTTTTGTCCTGTGGGGCTGGAGATGGAACCCCGGGCCTTGTGCATAGCAAGCAAACACTCTATATCCACAGCCCGAGAAATGATTTATTTACTTACTGGCTTTTTGAAATAGGGTCTCACGACGTAGTTCAGGCTGACCTTGAACTCACTCTGCAGCCTCAAACTCATGGTGTGTTGGTCTATAATCGTTTCTGTCCAGGGTGACAGGTCCCGAGAACGAGGTACTTGCGGATGAATAGAAAAGCAAGAGAAATAAAGAAAACAAGAGAGGCAAAATTCTGGGATTTTGGGGGCCGCAGCCTCTCGGACTGAAGCCCCGATTACCATTTTCAGTAACGTTTTATTGAGAAAGAACAAAGGATGCAGCAGTGCAAATGGGAGGATATCACCGGTTTAGCAAGGACAGTACAACTCAGTATCACGTAAATAAGACTTGACTAGTTAGCCATCATGTTATCATTCCTTCGGACATATCGCAGCAAAGCATCTTGTGTTGTCCCATGGCTTTCCACAGGAACACAGGTTCTGCAATCTTTTCCTCTCCACCAATGCTTCTGCTAAACTTCCTCCGGAACCCAACAACCATGGCTTGGTCAGGCCCGAGGTAATACATTGAAAGAGTAACTAAAGAATGTCCTTCTCCACAGTGGTGATCCTCCTGCCTCAGCCTCCTGAGTGCTGGGATGCACAGGTATGCATCACAAAGGATTTTCATGTGCAGGGAAAGAAGCCCACAAATTATGATGAATGCATAAGACAGACTTATACAGCAGTTCATAATAAGGTTTCATTGATGAAGAGGAGTAGAAGGCAAGGGAGAAAGAAAAATGTTATCCCTAAAGGAAAACTATCCTAGTGCAGATGACTGGCCTTACCACCCACTCCACTGAGAAGATACGCAGGTCAGTGGCTCCAGGTCACGGCCCGTCCGGCTCCTGCAGAGGTTTCCTCAGGTCACAGCCAAGCAGGGCCCCTCATCCCGTCACCGCCTCCCTCCCCTGGCAGCTGGGATTTTGCTCTAGGCCCGCCCCTATCATTCCCCTAGCAGTCCTGCGCGGCTTCCGACCACCTTCGAATCGGCCTTTCCCATCGCACTGCGGCTGCCTCTCACTCTGCCGCCGTCACAGCAGTGATAAAACCGGGTCCCGTGCCGACGTCACTGCTCACGCTGCAGGAGCTGTGGGGGCGGCTGCCCCGCTGGAAGGCCACAGGGCAGGGCAGCGCGGTGTTTACACAGCTGTCACAGCCCCTCGGCCAGCCCCGCCGCGCTCACCTCTCCATCTGAAGGACGCAGCAGCCAAACCTCCTCCTGTCCCAGCTGCTGGTCTCACCTCCCCCACGCCCTGGGCCGAGGCCCTGACTCACACCTCCCTGCTGCAGTGCCTGCCTCTGCCCCCAGCCGCTGCATCCTCGCTCAGCACCCCACAAGGTCTCCTGCAGAGACCCTCCTCTCCAACCTCAGCTGCTGCTTCCCTGGCACTACTTCATCTGCCCGCACGCAGGCCTGCTCTTCACTCCCTGCCCGTGCCCGCAAGAGTTCTCCCTCTCTCCTCAGGAACGTTCAGGAAGGGTCTTCTGTGTGTCCAGCCTCGACAACTCCCTTTCCTCGCACTGTGCTCTCTAGCACTCTCACCACTCTGTGAACCCGCCTCGCCGCAGTGAGTTCATTTGTAGGTGTTTATTAAGCTCCTGCTCTTCATCAGGAGCTGTCAGGCAGCAGGAAAATGGAAGTGACCAAATCAGTCCCAGACGCGGGGCACTGTGACCAGGGACACAAATAACATAATTAGAGTCTGGGAGAGTTCTATGACAAAGACAGAATGAGAGGACATACTTATTGGGAAGATGCGATGAAGGGTCTCTATTTTAGACTGCGTAGTCCAGGGAGGCCTCTACAGGAAAAAGCACACACTGGAAGAACAAGAAGGGGCACACCAGGTCAAGGGGACAGAAGTGCAAAGGCCCTGAGGCAACAAGAAGACATTTGTGCTTGGGCGGAAAGAAGGAAGTCCCTGGGTTTGGACACAAGGAGAGTTTGCCAGGGCCAGGGGAGGTAATTTATGCAAGGAGACTCTCCTTGCAGGATTTCAGGGGCAGGATCCAGCGTGTATCTTTAAAAACGAGCCTCAGGCCCCTCTGCCTTGTGGAAATGAGCAGAGAGGGCAACCAAGTTGTTAGAAGTGGATGCCTCCTCAGAAGGTCAGTTCACAGCTCCGGGTCTGAAAAGCAGCATCGGATCACCACCCGCTCCGCAGCAAAACAACAAACACCGGGGCTGGGGACTTAGCCCAGAGGCACAGCGCTCGCCTGGTAAGCGCAAGGTCGTGAGTTCGATTCCCGGTAGCGGGAAAAAAAAACAAACAACAAGCCAGCGCCCGGCTCCTCCCCAGTCCGCCTCATCTCGGTAAACAGCGCTGCTCTTGCCGCCTCCCTCTCCCTCCGCTCTGCACTCAGTCTGCTCTCGCCCCGTCCACCGCCGTCTCCAGGCAGCCGTCGTCTTCCCCACGGTGTTCGCGGCCCGTGACCGCTCTGCATTTACTGTGAACCCCGGGGCAAGGGCTCCAACTTGTGACCGTCCTGCCTCAATCTCCCGAGGGTGGGGAATTACAAGGGTGGTCTACCCTCTCTTCCTTCCCTAGAGTTTATTCTCCACGCAGGAGCCAGAAGCGCTTTTTAAGAACACAGACTTCCTGGCACACCCCTCGCCTTCACTATCTTTAACGATTGGAAACTGAGGACAACCGGAAGGGGCGGGGCCAGACTCAGCCTCCATCCGGCTTGTAGCCCTTCTGAGCTTCGGAACCTTTCTTTCAGGTAATGGGGGAAGCTTTTCCATAGTAATTTCCGGCGTCGTCGGCTCTTTTTCCCGTGCTGCACTGCGGGCTTTCTCTTCTTCTTCCGGTTCCAGGCGCTTGGCAGCTCCGGCCTACGGTAAGTTTTAAACGCTGGCCATCCGGTGCCATCCGCGACTCACGGGGCGCCGCGGACCGCGGGTTTTGGGGTGCTGGCCGCGGGGAGGAAAGGAAGACGGGCGGTGTGGCTGTGGGGAGTGGAAGCTGCGGGGCGGGGATGTTGCTCCGAAATCCTCAGGGGGATGTATGGTAGGGCGAGGAAGCGGCCGTTCAGCCTTGCGAGTTGGGCGAGAGTTGGTCTCGGATCATCGTCTGCTGCGTTTGAGAGGCAGGGGCTGGCCTCGGGTCGCGCAGCGCAGTCGAGGCATTCGGAGTCTGCCCGGTGTCTGGCCTCCTGTTGCGCCACGTCCGGGCGGCAGGCGTTCCCCAGCCTGGCGCCCCGCAGTTCTCATCTCCGCTCTTGTCTTGCAGGTGCAGGAATGGCCAAGTCCAAGAACCACACCACGCACAACCAGTGTAAGTGTCGGGGCCGCGAGCGCGTGCCCTGCCGAGGACTGGTTTAGGGACAGGAGCGTGTAGCCGGGGGCACAGTCCGTTGTCCCCTTGGAGCTGATGCTGTTTTTAGCCAGAATCTTGAGGCTGTGGATTTGGCAGCCGGGCGGGGATCCTGTTGTGAACTCGCAGGTTTTTGCGTTCACTGGTAGGGTCTCGGGCAGTCCTGATCTGGGAAATAATGGTTTCCTCTGGTGGGTGGGATTAGTAGACGAAGCCCCTTTTTAAGACAGGGTCTTGCTTGGTTTCCCGGGCTGACCTTGCACTTGCAGCCTTTACAGCTCAGCTGCCGGGACTGCTGGGATTCACGTCTGGCCTAAGTACCTTTTCTTTCCTTCCACAGCCCGAAAATGGCACAGAAATGGCATCAAGAAACCCCGGTCGCAAAGATACGAATCTCTGAAGGGGGTGAGTATGCGCACCGAAGCTCGTGAAGTGCCCCTCGGCTCCGGCTCCGCCGCGAGTACGGCTCACTGTCCCTGACTTCCGTGGTCTGCTGACACCCACGGTTCCTCTCTCTGCCTTGCTGGACGCGTGATAAAGCTTCCCTTGGCTTTCTCCTGCTTCAGCCAGAGCCCTTAACAGAAGTAATCTTACCTGTGTGCCGGGCGCTCTCATCCTTCTAGTCCACGTTTAGCAGCCTGTGACATCGGCCTGACCCAGTACGGGGCTTGGAGGGTGCTGTCCTCCCTGTCGGGGTTCTGAGGATAAGCTGAGAAGGCTGTAAGATCTTTGGTGTAAAACTGTTGGGCTCACTTGGTATTTCACAGTTTTTAAAGGGGGAGGGAGCATCCCTGAGGAAATTTCAGGAGAAATACTTAGCCAAACTCGTACTGTAGGGAAGTTAATGCCCTACAGTCCGGAAGAGGGCAGCCTTCCTCATTCTGTCTGCAGTAGTGTTTGCCTATTAACGGCTTTGGGAATGTCTTTACACCCTTAGCAAGGTAGAGTATTGGCTCCTTCGGGTAAGTGGTATGTCTGGAAATAGTTTTAAGGGGTTGGATATGGTGATGTTTTTATAAAAGTAGGTGCTCTTACTGGAAAGGGACACAGGATGACTTGGGGGCTCTTACATTACAGTTGAGTAGTCTGGGCTCCTGTGCAGAAGGAAAGAATTGCCAAGTGTACGTAGGTAGTAAGTAGCCACATTTGTTGAAGATGATGGGATGGTGGCGGGAACAGGGAGAAGGGTGAAGGGGAAAGGGGCGAAAGAGAAAAGGGCCTTAGCTCAGGCTTCCGGTGTTACAGGGTCACACACCACTACTCAGGGTGCCTCCCGCTGTCTCGCTCACTGACGTCAGCAATCTGCTCGCCTTCCTAAGCTTAAACCTGATCTTTAGGGTAGTCTTGTGTTTGTGGTTGAATGGAGAGAAGGGAGGTGGCTCATACAACTTCCCTGTCTTAGGGTTATGGAACCTTGGATAATCATTAGGGTGGCGTGTGTTTAATTCCTTTTTTTTGGTACCAGGAACTGAACTCGGGACCTTGCGCTTGCCAGGCAGGTGCTGTGCCGCTGAGCTAGATCCCTGGCAGGTGTAGTGTTTACAGTTGAACAAAGGGAAGGGAGCAGCTCGGCTCCTTTGTTTCTAACTGTACTAACAGCTGCCACCTGTACCTTTCCTCTTTCCCAGGTAGATCCCAAGTTCCTGAGGAATATGCGTTTTGCCAAGAAGCACAACAAGAAGGGCTTCAAGAAGATGCAGGCAAACAATGCCAAGGCCATGAGTGCACGCGCTGAGGCTATCAAGGCCCTCCTCAAGCCCAAGGAGGTCAAGCCCAAGATCCCAAAGGGTTTGAACCGCAAGCTCACTCGACTTGCCTATATCGCCCACCCCAAGCTTGGGAAGCGTATCCGTGCCCGCATTGCCAAGGGTCGCAGGCCTTGCCGGCCAAAGGCCCAGGCTCCAACCAAGGCCCAGGATCCAACCAAGGCCCAGGATCCAGCCAAGGCCCAGGATCCAGCCAAGGTCCAGGATCCAACCAAGGCCCAGGCCCCAGCCCAGGCTCAGGCCCCAGCCAAGGCCCAGGCCCCAGCCCAGGCTCAGGCCCCAGCCAAGGCCCAGGCCCCAGCCAAGGCCCAGGCCCCAGCCAAGGCCAAGGCTCCCAAAGGTGCCCAGGCCCCTGTGAAGGCTCCACAGTAAAAGCCTCTGTCTGTCCATGTGAGGACAGAAGGACTGGTGTGACCCCTGGGCTGCCATCTGTGGGGGGCTGGTGTCCTCTTGTACTCTGTACAAATAAACCTGAGGTAGGATCTGTTAGCTTGAGTCTGTCATCAGGGGCTGGTGGTGGAGTTGCTGGCTCGTTTGGGAAGGAAGAATACAGCCTTCTGTTAATGGCCGGATGGGTGTCAGTGAGGGAGCAGGGCCCTGGAGTGCAGAAGGAGGGACCTGGTAAGTGGGAATGTTCGGGGTTGGGGAGCGGGGTGCCTGGCTTGTGAATGTGAACTGGGTACCTGCGGAGGAAAGGAGGAAATCTCAACACCCTGAGGCAGTACTGGTGAAGCTTTTAGAGGCCGAGCACCAAATTGCCACTTCCAAAAGTCCCAACATTGCAGTTAAACCTGAATACTGAGCATTTAGTTTATAAAAAATAACTACATTAACATCTGTCTTCAACACAGTAAGACATGGTGGCCAGCACTGCCTTGAGGGAAGGCCCTGTTGACCTCCACTCCAGCCTGACCAGTCAGTGCTGCACCTGGGCTGGGTTGTGTGGTTCCTCCAGTGATAGGGACCAGGGAAGGCAGAGCTGTGGTGAAACTACCTTACATGACTGTGTCGTTTGCTTCACGCAGGACATCCGTCCTCACGGCAGTCCGTGGAGCAAGTAGTGAATAAGGACACTTGCGGAGGTGTTCTGTAGGGAGTGCCAACCCGGCAGCAAGAGCCTGTAGTCCTGGCATTCTCAGGCTGAGATGGGAGGGCCACAGATTCAAGTCCCTAAGCAACCTGGTGCTTAGCGAGACCCTGTCTCAAAAAGGCTGGGCGTGTACAGCGCAGAGGCCATGGGTTGAATTCCCAGTGCTGTAAAGAAAACTGCTATGCCAAAAGCAGGCACAGCCTATGGCTTAGGATCCCTCTACTCATAAAATAGGTGTAACTGTTTTGTTAATACAGGTGACTAAAAAGGGATAGAAGTAGCATTGAACCCAGGTGGCCTGGGAGCCCCGGGAACTGTGGTTTAGATTGCCTGACCAAGCCAGGGACTGTTCCCTGTGGGGGGCCCTCTGACCTTGTCAGTATGTATCAAATGGAAGTGCTGGGTCTTCAGAAGCAAGCAGGTTTTGTGTCCTTAGGTTACTTGGCCCTGTCGGCAAGGCCTGTGTGCTGGGGCCCTGGAGTAGCGGTGCGGAGGTTCTTTCCTGTCCTGCTGTGAGAGGGACTTGACTAGGCATGGCTCTTCGTAGGCCTGCTGGCAGTGAAGCTTGTTTGCATTTCTAGTGCAACATGTGTCAAAGGGCCTGTGTGAGGGTTCAGTGACTAAGCAGGTCAGATCCCTGGTGCCTTGCCAACAGGCCCAGGACTTATTTCTGGCCACAAGTACATGCTTAAGCCATTCCTCCCTGTCTCCTCCTTTACATGGAGGTCTGGACTGATGAAAAGGAACAGTCTTACTTGGGGCCATGGCTGACTTGGCCCTCCCTGCAGACCTACCAAGGCTGTTTCAGCACAGTGCTCTATATGAAAAGCTGCCAGAAGACCAAAGAAGCAAACAAAACTGGGATTGTAGGAACAGTTTATTGTGAGGCCTGTCTTGGGCAGTAGCAGACAGACAGGAGGGTCCTCACACCTGCTGAGGCAGGAGGAAGGTGCTTATGTGCTGAGCAGGACAGCCTAAAACCAACCTTCTCAAGAAGGACTAATACGGGCTGGGGACGCAGCTCTGGCGGAACTCTTGCCTAGCACGTGCAATGCCCTAGGCTGCATCCGTAGCATCCCCCACACAAACATATCCAATGTTGGTTAGGCAGACTATTGGCAATGGTGGTTCATCCTGTAGGGTTTGGACTGGCAGGGTCACCTGGCAGGCAAAAGGATGGTTACTACCAAGACGGCTGGCTGTAGTCATCAAACTGGATTCCTGCAAACACGGAGACTAAAGCCCAACTCCTGGGCCCATCCACACATACTGATCCATGACCACTGACCTGTCTGCTGGGAACAGAATAAATACCTGGTCTACCAGGGCCCCTGCTCCCCACACCAGAGCCCACGGGTTTTGAGAAAACACATGAACCACAGCAAAGCATTCCTATCTTATAAGCTGTCCCACTAATGGCAGGGCCCAGCTGGCCCCATTCTGGTCCTGCCCTAGGGTACCAAGTATACCTCCAAGAAAATAGGAGTACCCTGAGGTGTTTATCTTGGTACTGGCTTTGGAAGGGAACAGTCCCCAGCTGCACAGGTCAGATTTCAGCTTGGCGGCCATGGAGCACGGGAACTAAGGCTCCTCATTGGCGGGCAGGTGTGGCTCAGCGTTACTGGACCATATGTCATGGCAGGGGGTACAGGGTACTGTGGGCCAGTAGGCAAGGACCCGGAGCCAGGGTCACAGCGTCTGTGAAAAGGATGGTGACAGCACATCAGCAGAGAAGTGAGGACCCCTCTGTGCGTGTCTGCACTTAGAACTTCCAAGTGCAGCTTCCGTCCGCACAGATTAACTGGGCAGGGGAAGAGGAAGTCCTTGCCCTGGTCAGGGTGGAAGCCCCAGGGCAGGGGCCAGGGGCCTGGGGCTCAGTGGTCAGTGGGCAGGGCAGGCACACTAGCCAGGGCGGGCAGCAGGCGTGTGTATATGTCAATGCCCCGGAGGAACACAGCCTCATGCAGCCGCTCGTCATGGTCGTGCAGCAGCACCGGTGTACGGTTCATGGGTGAGAAGCCCAGAGCCGGGACCCCCGCCTGCGGAGTTGAGAAGGAGCTGTCAGGAAGGCAGCGTTCGAGCCAGCCCCCTGCCCACACTGGCGCCTCGGCAGCTCACCGCACGGAGATAGCGGCTGTCGGTGGCAGCAGGGAAGATCTCCAGCTCCAGGGCGAGGTTCCTGCAGAGGCAAGTGCCCCACGAGTGGGCGTGGTGGTAAGGGCCCAGGGAGAAGTGAAGGTGGCGGGAGGCAGAGGGAAGGGAAGGGGACGAGGACAGGCTGTGGCAGGGCTGGCTGGTGTGCTCACATGTCCTTGCAGATCCCACTGAAAGCTGCCCACCAGGGGTCTGCATCGTCGGTGGAGGTCACTCGGGGCTCCGTCCATTTCTGCGGGAGGAAAAGATGGCAGGGTCAGGACAGGGCAGGGGCATGGGCAACGCCACCAGCACCTACCCTGACACCCAGGTGGCCAGTGCAGCCACAGGTCCTCAAGGCCCTAGGCCTGGGACCGTCCCTCACTCACACTTGCACTTGCCTCCTGCTCCTTCAGAGCGGTCACCACCCCTTCCAGACTGGTCACATGTGTGCATGAAATGGTCTCAAGTGCAAGGTCCAAATGAGCCCTGGACCACACGTGTGCATGCTCATATCAAAGGGATACTATGTAAATACTTGAATTGTAACTGTCTCCTTTGTGCTGAGGACCACGAGGGTGGGCACTGAGCCTAGCCCAGGGGTGACACACATCTATAATCCCAGCGCATGGGAGGCTGAAGCAGGAGGATCACCGTGAGTTCAGGGCCAGCCTGGGCTACATAATGAGTTCAACAGCAGCGTGGACTACATAATGAGTTTCTGTCTAAAAAATAATAAAATGAAAAATAAAAAAGCTTAGCGTTACTCATTTCTCTGCTGTATTCCCTAGCGCCCATAACGGCCTCTGCAGCCCAAGCCTGTTAGCTAAATGAAAGGCCTCGCGTTTAGGACAGCGCCCAGGTCACGCTGCAGGGCCCCATCTCTAGTCCCCGACTCCTCGTCACAGCTCCAAGTCCACACCTGAGCAAAGTCGAAGGTGACCCCATCGCCAGCTGCCTGGCACCATCTTTGCAGCTGCTTCTCGAAAGCCTGAGAAGGGAGACAGGCGGACCCCTCAGGCTTTCTCTGAGCCTCGGGGGCGGAACTGAGGGCCCTCTCCCTCCCTCCGCCCGAGTGGAGGGGCACCTGCAGGTCCACATCCGGCGCGATGCGGAAGTCAAAGACGGCACTCATGGTGGCGGGTACCACGTTGAGCGCCACGCCCCCCTCGATCTTCGTCAGGTTCACGCAGGTCACAGCCCCCTCCTTCAGGTGAGGCTTCGCCTGGAGCCTGAATTGGGGGAGGGGAGGACAACGGTGTAAGGAGCGCGCTCAGCTCCCCTCAGCCTCGCACACCGCCCAGAGCAGCCCTGCGCGCCCTGCGCGGCCGGCCTCACCTCCGCTTCTCCTCCTCCCGGAACGCCAGCACGGAGCTCACAACCTTGTGCTAGAAGTGGGAGGTCAGGTCTGAGAGTGTCTCAGGTCTGAGCCCCGGAACACAGCCTCCCACACACCGCCCCCGGACCACGTACCAGCTTCTCGGCGGCTGTGTCCTCAATGAAGCGCGAGCCGTGGCCTGGTCTCCCGGTGCTGGTAAACCGCACCCCTGGGAGATGGAGAGGGAGGAAGGTGCTGTCAGCCGGAGAGGCTGGGGACCCCATCAGCCCTGGGTGCCCGCCCATCCCAAGCTTCTCCTGGCAGGGCTCTGTCCCTGTCGGAGCCAGCGCGGTAGACTGGTTCCCGCTCACAGACCTTGCCGGCAGAGGAGCTCTGGAAGGGGATCCCAGGGGGAAGGGGCTAGGAGGCAGAGGCCCTGAGTGCAGGGCCTACTCAGGCCTCACCCTGCTGTGCGGCCCTTTGCAGGCCCTGCCCCTTCTGGCCCGGTCTCCCCATTGTACCGTGAGCCCCGCCGTCTGAGGCCATACTCACACCAGATAGCCCGCTCACTATAGAAGACAGTGAAGGAATCCGTGGGGTTGGCCAGGCCTGCCGGGGCGAGGTTCAGAGGGTGAGGTGAGCCAGCCCCTACTTCCCCACCCGGCTTCCTGGAGGCCTGTAAGCCTGCTCACCCTCATCCAGGGCAAAGCCCACTCTCAGGGCCTGGAACTCGGGCCGCTGCACGAATAGCTTCATGCCTTGAAAACCTCCAATTTCCTCATCTGTAAAAGTGACAGAGACTTGAGATGAGGGGACCCACCGGCAGCACAGCCTCCCCTTCCCAAACACACCTCTCCCCACCCCGCTCCTACCGGGCACGAAGGTCATGTGGATGGTTCTAGGAAAGCGGTGGCCCTCCTCCTTCAGCCGCCGCACAGCCTCCAGGTACCTGAGGGGGCACAAGCCAAAGCTGAAGAAGCTACCAGATGCTCAGGCGGGCCCAGCGGGTAGGGCCAGACAGGGCCGGCAGGACGCAGACCCGTGCCCTGGACCCTACAAGCCATGGCAGGGCCCCAGGAAGTCCCTGCTCCGGGCCTTAATCGGTCCATCGTGCAGTGGTTACAGCAGTCACGCCTGTCCAAAGTAAGGGATCAAGGTGTCCCTTGGCCTTGTTTGCTCACATGCCTGGGTCGTGGGTCAGTGCACCGTATCCGTGGGGACTCGGCAGGGGCAGGGACGAAGGACACTCACTGGATGCTGACGCTCTTCATGTCCTGGGCGCCCCTGGCATAGATGTAGCCCTCAGGATCCTTGAAGGCCTCAAAAGGGTGGTGACTCCAGTGCTCCTGGGGACAGAGAGGGAAGGGGGGCCCACCATCGAGTGGAGTGACAGGTGGGGTGTCAGAGGCACAGGAGTGCGCTGAAGAAGGCATCTGATTGCCACCCCCCATCTGTCTCCGGCCTCCCTGCCCAACCCCAGCGAAGAATCATTTCCTGGACGGAGGCTGCTGGAGTGAAGCAATGCAGTATGGATGTCAAGGGCTGGCGTGAGGGCCAGGGCCACGGGCTCCCGGAGGTCGGATCCCCAAGTCCACATCCTGGTGTCCCCAGGCACGCACACAGCACTCCACACGTACCTCGAAGACAGGCACCACATCCATGTGGGAGTTGAGTAAGACGGAGGAGAGTTTAGGGTTGGTGCCCGGCCAGGTCAGCACAACAATTACACGGCCAGGTGCCACCTAGAGAGGGTCAGGAGGGCGAGCGGTGAGCGCGGGAAAGAGGCGCCCCAGGCCCACTGTCCCTCCCGCTCGGGACCCCAGACTCACCTGCACTTTCTGACAGCTCAGACCCATCTGGAGGCCCCTCTCCTCCAGGAAGGCCACAGCAGCTCCTGGGGACACAGAGTCCTGGGGCTGCTTCCGCGTCCCCATGGCTCCCACCACCCCAGGCAGCCCCACAAGGCAGGCAGACCCTGAAATAGGCTGCTGCCTCCCCTACGTAATTCTGTATCTCTCAGGAACATATGCTTCTTCTTCTTTTTTTTTGTGGGGGGTCCTTCTGAGACAGGGTCTCACTATGCAGTTCAGGCTAGCCTTGAACTCACTTTGTAGCCCAGGCTGGTCGCGAACTCACAGTGATCCTCCTGTCTCAGCCTCACAAGTGCCGGGATTACAGGAGTGCACCACCACGTCTGGCATGAGACATTTGTTTTTGATCTATTTGTGACCCTTTGGGAAGTCCAGGGTAAAGTCTAGCGCTGGAAGCAGGTGTTATTCCTATCTTCCTTAAAAATAGGAAAATTATGGCCCAGAAATCTGAAGACTCACTATGCAGTTCTCAGCTGGAAATTACCAGGCAGGGGTCTGGACCCCACAGACAGTTCCTACAGTCACCAAGCTCGATTCCTGTGGTTGCTGGACTCTGGCCCAAGCAGGCTTCTAGGGGCCTCTCCTGGGGCTGTCTGTCCCTGACCCCACTCCTGCTCTGGGGGATCTGGGGAATGAGGGGAAACTGCTCCTTCTCACTTTTTCTTTTTTTCTTTGTTTGTGTGTGTGTGTGTGTGTGTGTGTGTGTGTGTGTGTGTGGTACTGGGGAATGAACTCAGGGCCTTTACACTGAGCTACATCACAAGTCTTTTTAATTTTTATTACTTTTTTCTTTTTCTTTTTTGGTACCAGGAATCGAACTCAGGACCTTGCGCTTGCCAGGCAGGCGCTGTGCCGCTGAGCTACATCCCCAGCCCTAACTTTATTTTTATTTTTCCTTTTTGAGACAGGGTTTCGATATGCAGTTCAGACTGGCCTTGAGCTCACTGTGTCGCCCAGGCTGGTCTCGAACTCACAAGGATCCTCCTGCCTCAGAATCCCGAGTGCTGGAATTACAGGCGTGCGCTACTACACACGGCTTTACTTTAATTTAATTCAATTTGATTTTTAATTTTGAGACAGGTGCTGAGGAAGTCCCTAAATTGCCCGGGCTAGGCTCCAACTGTCTCCCTGCCCTGAGCCTCCAGGACAGAGCGCGGCAGCAACACAGCCCTGGGGAATGGGTGGTCCGCGGCCCCGATGGACCGCGCCGCGCTGTGGGCTGCAGAGCGGGGCGCGGCCGGGGCCAGGGGGTCAGCGGCAGCCC